CATTTGTTTAAATAAGTTCAACAGCTTTTTCTTGCTAAGAGGGGCATTTGTTGCACTTCAGCACTGTCAATTTTCTTCAGCACTTTCACTGTCATTTCTTCAGCACTGTCAATTTTCAGCTCCATCTCTGAACCTTTGCCAATTGGCAAATAAAACAAAAGGCCTGGTAACTGCAGGAAACCCTGATTATGAGCTTTTTCAGAAGATAATTCTTTGATAGTGAACTCTGTACTGCACACAGGGTCTGGAAATACAGACTTTATTACAGTGCAATATTAGAGACTGATAAATATTCCTTTTTTGCCTGCAGAGTTACTTGTGATGTGTAGGAATTAAATGTAGCCTGCAGATGTAAGGACATCCCTCTCTGACCTGGCTATCACTAGAACCACTCCTTCCAGACTGCAGGGGGCAATTTGTTTCCTCAGCAAAAAAGTGATTAAAGTGATTGTTTTCCATTTTCTATTTTAACCAGCACCTCTAGACAGACCAGTGGTGTTACACAGAGATAGAGGGTTATTTTTGTTGTTTAGATGAAACCTTAGTTAGCCTCTACAACAATGAAAAAAGAATTAATCATTCTTTGTCTAGCTCCTTTTCCTGTGTGTGCCACTAGAGGGTATTACTCACTGTTACAAATAACCAAGCTGAGAGCTAATTCTTAGATTACAGAGAACAGAAGACATTCATGAGTAATTAATGAGCCAAAGAAACATCTTGAGAAAACTTTGGGGGAGAAAGTTTCCATCTTTCTACCCTGTCACTCCTTCTGTGTGTGAATACTGACCATTATTCCATTTATCAGGATATGCTTTTTTATGAGTACTGATTTCTAGAGAGCCCATCCATTATTCCATTATCAGGATATGCTTTTTTGTGATTTTATTACTCACTGAATGTTGCAGTTGGATGCTCTGCAAAGCTAATGAATATAAGGCTCAGGATGCAGTTGCAAGGAAATTACGTAAAGCAGATTATCACCTACCTTAGCACTACATTGTTTTTCTCTTGTTTTTACTTACTGGTAATATATATACCAGTATATATATTATATACATATTATATAATATATATACTATATATATTATATAAAATATATACCAGTATATATATTATATATATATTACCAGGTATAATAACCCTAAGTTACATGAATTAACCCTAAGGACAGGTAATATTTGATAAAAAATCAACTTTTTGCTTTCAGCCCCAAAATTTCTTTACATCTGAGCATAATGTGACTGTTGAAAGTTAAATATGCATTATTTTACTTGCATGTATTTCATTTAGGTAAAAAACCACAGAGTTTAGCTCAAACCATCCTAATCATTTTTTTAGCAGTTGCTCATTTTAGGCCATCATGTCTTTTTCTCAAGCTTACACACAGACTAAATAATAATAAAATTGCTTTGCTTTAAAAATGTCAATTTTCTCTTACTCAGCACACATAAAGCACTTCTTGTTTACTGCCATTACCTATGTAAACAAAATAGGAAAGATTTCAGGTTTGATAGGAGGATTTTTCAGGATTCTGCAGGAAAAATTACAGGTTGATACAAGAGCTGTAATTATTATTGATTGGTTTTCCTTTCAGGAACTGAACTTTCATGAGCCCACTTAAGCTTTCTGTTACCTCAATAAAAGCATTTACTCATAGGGATTTCCAGCTGATTCTGTATTTCTTTTTAATTTATAAATTCTCTGGTGTCCTAAATATGTCAATCTTGTATCTGACAGTAAAAGGCTTTTTTTTTTAAATTTTATTTTTACAGTAAGCTCTCTGAGCCAGCAAGACATTGTGGGCAGATGGACAATGAACTAAGAAAGCTTTAAGTTATTTCTGGTCTGTGAGAGAACAATCAAACAGCTCTTCCAGAACTGAGTGATCAAAATACCAACACTCAAACTGCTGATACATTAGGAAGTCCAGAAGAATAGTAATTAGCTTCCTTGATGATCTATTTTCCTATTTCCTGCCAGCACAGAGGTAAAGCTGTACAGGCATATTTGCCAGATTTGTAATTAGTGGACTTGTATCCTGAAGTATTTCAGGCTTCCACATTTGCAGAAGTGATTGTGATTGCTTCAGTTTTGTTTCATAACTGCTTTCACTACTCTATTTCTTCTCCAGCTGTCTACTTCCAAATCCAACAGATCCTTTCCCATTTCCCTCCTAGTTTAAATTAGGGTTGTTAATTTTGCATTGGAGGCCTACCCAGTACTTGATTTGAAACAAAATAAGGATTTTTATTCTGTACCCTTGACAGGAATTTACTTTTTACTTAGGGATGAGCCACATGTACAATTTATTTGGCACTCAGCCCAAGTGATGGGATCAAAAGCTTCTGGTGAAAGGAAGAAGGAACAGGAAAGAGGTGCAGGGCCTTCTCAAGGGGATATTCTGCCAGCTGAGCTTTATTTCATGGGCAGCTGATGCACTTTGGAGCTCCCCATCCCCTCCACTGCATCAGAACTGGCCCTGCTCAGCTGCCAACAGGTAAAGTCAAAGAGCACAAAGGTTTTTATATGTGCTAAAAGGGTAAAGTGGTACCAGACAGGCATCCATTCTTCCTAAACCAAATGCATTTGTAGGGATCTAATACACCTGAGATGATTGGCTCTAGTCTAGGGAGTTGGAGCCCAGTCTTGTCAGAAAACATTCATGATGAACAAGTCATGAATGTTTTTCTCATATGGAAGCAGAATGTGGGATCTTTTACCTAAAATACCTGGTTTAGTTTAACCACAGTTGCTAAAACTGAAGAGGGAATTCCTTAAAGGATGCACACAATACAAGTTCAGAACATCTAATTTAAAAATTCATTCAAACTGAAAACCTCTCCATGCCTTAGAATCCTCTCTGGGTGGGAAGGTGGAAGTGCTGGTTCTTCAGCAGCAGTCCAGCACAAAAACTGCTTTATAATTAGTACTACCTATTTCTGACAAGTTCCAACTATTTTGAGATTCTTGTATTATCTCTACAAAATGGAGGCAAAATCACTATGTATTATTGTTTTTTACTTTAACCAAAATTTCAATTTAATCAAATGAAGCAGCAGGAATTTTTATTTCCTTTTTATATACTATGAGTAATTAAATCTGCTGCTAACTTACAGCTTTTGTAATTATTTTTAAACATTATTTAGCATATTATTGCAAGTCCAATTGCTATCTTTTAGTCTGTATTTTGGCCATGGTCAAACAGAAAGCAAGCCAGATCTGTTCAAATGACACAAGAAAACATCATAACCTTCATTTTGTATTGTAGCCTGACTACAGGTGTTTAAAACTGATTCTTACTGGCAGATACAAGCACTTAAACCAGGAGGAATGGGTCAGAGCTATAGCTACTAAGTAAGATTTCCTAGTAATGGATGAATTTTTTTTTGCATAGATGTGACTTTTCAGATGCAATTATTCATCTCTAGGTCACTGTTCTGCTGTACATGACTAACAGCTGTTGTTTTCCACCCAGGAGATGGCTGGATGTCAGCGGCTGGTAAAATGATACCTGCACATGGATTTAGGGACTGCTTTAAGATCCTTTCATCTTGATGATGAGACTTTTCCTGGATGCTTTTGTCTAAAACACGACACTGGAGAAGTCTTCCATTTTAGATGATTTGAACTCTGCTAAATGTCTGCAGAGACAGAGCCCATATGTTCCAATCCAGACACCTCAGCTGGCACTGGCTGCCAACGCAGGATGAGGAACAAAGAGGAAAAAAATGACTGAGTAATGACTGAACTTTTGGAAAAGAGCATGAGATAAAGACAGCAAAGCTGCAATAACACTGCACAACAGTGCAGTTAAGGGCTTCAAGACAGACATCTTAAATCTATTTCTCATTTTAACTGACTTTTTTTTTCTTTCAAGCGCTGCTTCATTTCACGTTGCCAGCCCTGACGCAAAACGAATACCAGAAGCACAAATTAAACGGAGTCACAAGACTGAGCTAAAATCACACCATTTGCAGAGGTTTCTACACCTCCGGGGAGCAGCGCCGTTCTTCTGTCGCGCCCTTGCCCAGTGCGGCTGGCCCGGCCCCCGGCACTGAGTCAGGGCTCGGTGCCTGCCTGGGCTCCCGGCGCCAAGCTCAAATTCAAACAGCTCATCCGCCCCGTGTGCCAAGCGCTGCCCCCGGGCCCTGCTGAGTCCTTTCCGGGGCTTCCTTCCTCTTCAGCGGCTGCCGCACCATCGTCCCTCCCGCCTGGGCCACGCCGGGCTTTGACCCCGTTATCTGCGAACAGGGCTATGAAGAGGCAGGAAACGGCCCCTTAGAGCACGTAGGAAATTATCTGGAGATCAGAGATGATTATCACAGTGGGCCGTTTTGTTCCTTAAAAGAAAATTAATTAACTAGTAAAAAACAGCAAAACCTCGGGGGAGGTGGTGTCTGTCTGCAAACCGCCTGGGGTCAGGGCGCTGGCACCCCTCAGAGCCAGGAGCAGTGAGAGCGGCCCGAGACAGCCCCGGGGAGCAGAGCCCGGAGCTGGGCGGCACCAAGCAGGGATGGGGACAAGATGGAGGGTCCCCCTCAGATACCTTAAGGCCAAGGGCTGGGGAGTTTCTGGGGGTGACCCGTGTCAGAGCGCGCCTGCCGCATCCCCTCACAGGGCAGGGCTCCCTCAATGCTGCAGGCGCGCGGTCACCCCCGCCTCACTCACCGCACCGACCGGGGGTGCGCCGGGGACGGCCGGAGTGACTCGCGCGGAGAAATGGGGAAGGGGCGGCTCTCCCGCTCGCCCGGACTCCATGGAGGGGCACCGGGGCACGAAACCCCGAGCCAGCCCCGCCGCCCGCCTCCGCCCGGCCCCTGAGGCGGGCGCGGCCCCGCGCTGCCGCCGCCGCCATGGCGCGTGCGCGGGGCGGTGCCTCGGAGCGTTCGCGCGGCCCGGCGCAGCCGCCATTTTGGAGCTCGGCTCGCGAGGGGAGGAACCCGCGGGAGGAGGACGCGGCGCCCGGCGCTTCTGCCTCTCCGTCCCGCCCCGAGCCGAGCCGGCTCCGCTCGCCGCCTTCCCGGGCCGCCTGGCCGTGCCAGCCGCCGCCGCTCTTCGTCACCCGCCTGGCCGGGCCGGCGGCAGGCCTGAGAGAGGCGGGAAGGATGCCCTGCACACCCCGCCGCTGAGGGAGACTCGGGGGCCCTGCGCGCCGCGTCTGGCCAGCCCCACCCCAGCCGCTGCTCGGCCCTTCGCCTCCAGCGGCGCGGAACTTCCTTCTCCCCGATCCCCCTTTCCCTGGGTTTCCTTTCCCCCGGACTAGGCAGGAGCCGCTTCCCCCTCGCCCCCAGCCCGCTCCACCTCCCAGGCCTCTCTGCCCAGGCCTCCTCCGGGTCTCTTCCTCCGCCTGGGCCTTCGGGCTCCTCACCTTCCTTCCTCCCTTTCCTTCCCCTTCCCCGCCCGGAGCCATGTCCTCCGCCGCTCGTTTCGATTCGTCGGACCGCTCCAGCTGGTACGTGGGCCCGGTGTCCCGGGCGGAGGCGCAGACGCGGCTGCAGGGGCAGCGGCACGGCATGTTCCTGGTGCGGGACTCGTCCACCTGCCCCGGGGACTACGTGCTCTCGGTGTCCGAGAACTCCCGTGTCTCCCACTACATCATCAACTCCCTGCCCAACCGCCGCTTTAAGATCGGCGACCAGGAGTTCGAGCACCTGCCCGCCCTGCTGGAGTTCTACAAGATCCACTACCTGGACACCACCACCCTGATCGAGCCCGCGCCCAGGTGAGTGTCGCCCGCCCCCGCCACACCCTCCGCCACCTGTGCCCGAGTGGCGCCTGAGGTGCGACCTGGAGCGGTGTCACAGGCCAGCCCAGTAGCTCCGGAGCCTGGCACTGCATGTAGATGCTATGAATAAATATTAATAAATTAGTTTCTAACTCTGGGCGTTCTTAACTCTCTGGACCTCGCCGACAATTAAAAGCGTTGCTCTTTCAGTCAAATTGTCCACGGTGCCTGTGCTGACCTTGTGTGTGAAGGTTCCATGTACCTCTGCACGGGCTGTAATTGCTTTGAGAGAGGGTGTGGCCGCACGTCACCCTTTTTGTGTTACCCTTCTCGTGTAGCATTGTCTCCGTTCCAAGGATGGTTGAGAAGCTGGTTCACCAGTCCTCTCCCTGATGGAAGTACAGCCTGTGAGCTTAGTTTGCCGTCTACGCCTGCACCCACACTGATTACAATAGAGCTGGCTTTTATGTGATTAGACTGCTTTGCTCTGTTAAGTCAGCATTAACACATTCTAGGGCACCATTTCCCAAACTTCTTGAGTGGCATTTCTGCACAAAAAAAAAAAAAGGGAAACACTTATTTCTCACAGTTTGCTCATGGCACTGTTCATCTATATGTGCATACACCATACACTTACTGAGAAGTGCTGTTCTAGGAGGATGGGAAAATGTGACTTGGCTGTGAGCTCCTTCTTTGTCCTGGTCCCAGCATGGGACATACCTGCAGCATGCATCAGTGAACTGCTTATGAAGAACCCTAGAACACATTCCTTACTTTTAATTAATAAAACCTTTCTCAGTATCTTTTGTCAAAACTTTAGGGCTTCCTGGATAGAATTAAATTAAATAAGAGAAAAGTAGTGACATATTAAAAAAATAAATCCAAATTGGTTCACTTCTGAAGTCTGCATTTTAATATCTTATTATGTTTTGCAGATTAGCAAGCTCTTAGGAGGGAGGAATAACTTTGAGGTTTATAATCACAATTGAACCTTGGCATGGACCAGTGCTTAATGACAGTCACTTGTCAAAGATTGACAATAGCTTGTCAAGTTGAAAAACTCAAGTGTTCAAAAGTCATTCTGAAAGCTGTCAAGTGATGGGCAGGATGTGACAGCAAGCACAACCTTCAGGAACCCTGCAAGCTGCTGGCAGCCTTTGGTAGTGATTGTGGCTAGAGGGATAGGTAGATGAAAAAAAAATAATTTTCACCATTGTAGGAATGGAGCTGCCCAGTGTTACATGCATGCTTAAACTTGTGCAGAGTTGGGAAGGAAAAATGCTGAAGCAATCTTCATGCTTACATCTGCTCTCCAACCTGGATATTCTTGAACCTTTCTGGATGCAATAATTTGTTCTTAATCATTTATGGCCATGACTGGCTTGGCTTTCTCAGAACACTTGAGAACTTAGAGCTGATTGCACACTTGGTATTTGTGAGGAGTCCTGTGAAATGTTCTGTGAGTGTTTTAGTGCCACCTTATTTTCAAGGTTTTGGTTGCATATTGTTCTCTCAGCACAGAGACAAGTGGGACCCATCCTGCAGTGAATTGACTTTTTAATAGAGCTACAAATGGGATCAACTTAGCATGACTTTGAAAAATCAGAAATCTTAAAAAAACCAGTTATGTGGTTGATGGTTTTAAATGCTGTGCAAAGGAGGCTTCCTGCTGCAAGAGGGAGGATGAAGGTAGCATTCCCAGATTTTTGGGATTTTTATTTTTAATGGACTAGATTTAGAACAGTGCTATGTGCTTCAGAACTGTTATGCTAATTCTCATTTCTCTGGCATTTTCCTGGGCACAGATGCTTGTGCTTTTGAAAGCTGTTCATTCTTTTAATTTCACAAAGTACAGTCTGAAAGGTGATTTCTATATAGAGCTCTTCAGTACTTCTAGATCTTGGAGATGACATCTTAAACTTTTAAAACAGTTCTAAATGGACCATTTTAAACTTTCTGTTTGTTTTGCATCTCTAGTAGTGAGCTCTGACCATCCCTGCTGATGTTCCTGAGCCCTCCTGATGCAGAGCAATGCTCCTGAAGGGTTCCCTCTGTCCCCCTGCCCTGGCTGCAGCAGGGTGTCTGAAAGATGGAATATCTTTATCTTCAGGGCTTCTGGCAGATCTTGCAGAAATCACAGGGATTTGACTTCCATGGTGTTTTGCAAGTAGCAGAAGAGAATTGAAGTAGGCTAATGACATGCATTCTTGCTCCCATAGCTTAGATAATAACTATCTGCTGTGGCCTATATCCACTGAGGCTTTTTGACAGCTGCTCTGAATAAAATGGGTAAATTTTACGATGAAAATAGTGAAAGCATTCTCATTTGATGGACAATCTTATATATTAACACAGACAACAAAGTGAGTGTATTTGACAAATGATGGACATAGTAATAAACAATTATGTAAATAAATTATAGATAATACGGTTAATAGGCAAAGGAATATTTATAGAAGGCTTGCTGGGTTTTTTTCCCTAGTTCCTTCTTATCAGTGGATACAAGTATTTCATACAGTCTTTGTGTCATACCATGTTACTTTTGTTCCTTTTTTCCTCTACGCTGCTTCAAGTCTTGCATTTACTTACTGAACTCTTTAGAGTAGATGCTGAAGTTAAAAACAGAATTATTTGGATGACTTTGGAGGGGACACAGGACTCTTGGAGAGATTCACAGCTACATTTTTATGTGTTGCCCTTCCACCTCAATCACCCCAACAGTCTTAATTTGGTTTTCTGTATCATTACTGTCATAACTTAAGCTATAGAATTAATTAGACTCTAAGATCTTCACAACAATCCAGAGCAGGTGGATGAAGATTTTGCATTATTTCTCCCAGTTTTCTGCATCCCATGATAGATTATATTGGGCTTCTGGGGAAGCTACTTTGGGTATTTAAGTCATTATTTGAGAAGTGTGAGTTGCTCATTAAATTCCTCACAGTGCTACCAGGCAATGATTTTGTTACAAATCCAAGCAACTCTTCTCTAGTTGATGTTCCTACTGCAGACCTGGCACTTAGCTTTGTTCCTGGAAACACAAACCAACAGCTTTCCTTTTCCCAACCCCTCAGGTACCCAAGCCCCCCCATGGGATCTGGATCTGCCCCTGCCATGCCCCCTGCAGAGGAGAACCTGGAGTACGTTCGGACTCTCTATGACTTCCACGGCAACGACGCCGAGGATCTTCCCTTCAAAAAGGGAGAGCTGCTGGCAATCGTGGAGAAGCCAGAGGAACAGTGGTGGAGTGCCAGAAACAAGGAGGGTCGGATTGGGATGATCCCTGTTCCTTATGTAGAAAAGCTGGGCAGGCCCTCAGTGGGGAAGCATGGCAACAGGAATTCCAACAGTTACGGGATCCCAGAACCTGCCCACGCCTACGCGCAGCCTCAGACCGCAACTCCCCTGCCCTCCGCGTCCAGCACGCCTGGAGCAGTGATCAACCCTCTGCCATCCACACAGAATGGACCAGTCTATGCCAAAGCTGTCCAAAAGAGAGTTCCCTGTGCTTATGACAAGACTGCGCTGGCATTAGAGGTAAGTGTTTCCTCCAGTCTCAGAGTTTTCAATTGCCTTGTGAAAGAAAAAACTAAAAATTGTTGCGGTGACTTCATGTGGAGTCTGCTGTTTTATGTCGAGGGACTGAGAAGTTAGGTTACATTCTGAAGAAACGTCCTCAAGAATTGCTTCATCTCTACCACTTCCTTTGAGAAAAGTGACCTAGTAAATAACTTTAGGACCTGTATTTTGCCTCCCTGCTTGCTTGTTCAACTGTGCAGATGTTACAAGGGTAACATGCTGAAGAAGTGCTAGTGACAGGATGGCTTTGCTTCTCCACCTAATCCTGGGGCAGGAAAGAGATATTTCCTTAATCCTTGTAGAGTTCCAGGCTTAAAGCTGGCAGTGGCACCCTCCAGAGAAAAGTAGAAGTTGCTGGCTGATGCACTTGGTGTTTCTGATCCTCAGCTGTGAGATGCAATTAAAGACCTTGTGCTGATTGATCTTCAATCTGGGCAGAATACATCAGACATTCTAGTCCCTTTTGCTTTGCTTTTCAAAAGTGGAAGTTAAGAAACCTTAACACCTAAACTGGGGGTGAGGAGTGTAGTGTAACCTCTGAAGTGCTGCAAGTTTTTGTGCTTGCTATTGCATTTTTAATTTTATTTTTATTAGAGATATCTTGTAAAACTTTAGAGGGTTATTCTGTAAATAGTAAAGAATTCATATCATACTTCTAGTTTAACTGGAATAAATGATTGATTGGAAGAAGTTTTTCAAAGCTGTATCCAGAATACTGTTACTTTTACATTTAGATGATACTGAGGCTAATTAGCCTGTAATTCAAAAATGTCTCACCTGGAAAAAGTGAAATTTGAGCATGCTGCAATACTTCCAGCACAAATGCAAGCAAACAAGCATAGGAAGCAGCAACATTTTAGCAAGTAAAATAATAATGGTTTTTAAAACACTTTAGAACCTTTCCTGTTGTTTTTGCTCAGTTACTTTGCAGGTAAAAGCTGTTACCTGTGGCTGCTACTTTTGACTGAAATTTGGAAGGTTATATTTGTGACTTCCCATTATTCACAGTGCTCACCCTAATTGCTTTACTCCTGTATTTGTAACACTTCTAAGGTTACTCTTGTGGGGTTAGAAGTTAAATATGAATCACTGCAATTTCTTTGTCTTGTGAAATCTAGCAGCTTGTTATTTGTGAACAGTGTGTGAAAATTACCATAGAACAAAGTGTAAATTCACTGCCAACTGCACTGTACAGAAAATTCCTGCCAAAACTACTCATGCTTCTGCAAGCAGAGCAAGGCAAGAGATTGATTTTGTTATGCTATCAATGTGTCATGGAATGACTTCAGGGAACTTGCACAGGGAGCAGAACCACTTGGAGGGTTGGTCCTTACTTGTGCACTTTTCTGACTTGCCCTGTAAGTGACCCAGTTAACCCCATCAGTTCAGCTCCTCTGGGACACCAGCAGGATTCATTCTCTGGCCAACAAATGGGTTTGACTTGGTTTGAACCTTCAAATTACTCAAGTTTTGTTTGAGAGATTCTTCTCATCCTCTGATCACTTACTGCCTCGTGTTTTTGTGTCTCAACACTGGCATGTTTTGTCTGTTTTCTGTGCCAGTGCACCTCATCCACACTGTGGCTTCTCAAGAGGCTTCAGAAGCAGAATTCTGGGAGCTGCTCTGCATTTTCATTGGAATCAGTGATTGCAGTTTCTCCTATCTATCCATGCATAGGGAACTTCAGCAGGTTCATTATACCAATATTTATTTTGTCACATGGCCTATGCTTAAAGAAAAAAATAATTCAGCTTCTTTTCATTATTTTCCTTTAGTTTGCCAACCCCCTGCAGGACCCTGATAAAATATTTAATCCCAGCCCTGTGAGAGCTCTTTACATTACTAAATAAACTGAACCATTTGAAACTTCTGTTTTGTAAGACCACTGAAAGTAGTGCTAGACAAAAAACAGGTTATGGGACTGTTTTGGGGAAGAAAGTTAATGGTGTTCTTTGATAAAAATATTATTTGACAGTTGTCCCCCTCAGAATAGGGGTACCCTAAGTGCCTGCTCAGCTGCTGCACCTTGGGAGTGTAATTACTGATTGTGCAACCTCATTTCAACTGATAAAGCAGTGTGAAAGCAAAATATCTGTTTGCTGGCTGGAGCCTTGTGTGGTCAGCACACAGACAGTACTAAAAAGGAAGAGAAGAGCATCTGGAGTAAATAAAGGCATGGCACAATAATCTGCTCAGCTTCCTTTTTAGTGGAGCAGTGCCATTCTTCTTGGTTCAGCTTGAAAATGGGACAAGCTCCCTGCCTGCAAGTCCAGTGGTTCCATTGTACACCATTATTGTTTACAGAGCTGGCAGAACTTTCTTTAAGAAAAGGTAAGAATTTATAGCCTGTTACAGAGAAGTTTGTTTTGTAAACAAGTTGGTTTTGGGGTTTTTTTTAATTTCTTACATGGAAAATGTAAGTGACCAAGTGACTATTCTACAGAAAATCTGAAATGAGATCTGATAGATTGGATAAAGATGAATTCAACAGGTGAATTTAAAAGTGTGACAGTTTAGGAGCAACTACAATTTTATTTCTCTATGATAGTCAACAGGGCATTTATTTTTGCTGGGCTAAGTTTATTTAACATTATCTAGAATCACAGAGTGGTTTGGGTTGGATGAGACCTTAAGAGTTCATTTCATCCCACCCCTGCCATGGGCAGGGACACCTTCCACTATCCCAGGTGATCCCAGCCCCATCCAACCTGGCCTTGGGCACTGCCAGGGCTGTTCACAGCCTCTCTGGGCAACAATATTTGTGTTATTGAAGTTACCAATGGATGAGTGTTGACTCGATCCTATTGTGTTATTATCCAAAATGAAAAATTAACCTATAATCTGTTTATAGGCTAAAATGGTAATTGTAAGTAGAGACACTATCTCAAAGCTTACAGCAGGTGGTACATGGAATTTTGTGCATCTCCCTGCACCAGGGAAGAGTTAGTAAAGCCTCCAGTAAATTACATGTATTTCTAAGATTTACATGTGCTCTTGTCTGTTAAGTTACTTTGGCAGCTCAGATTTAATATTTTTAATGAACATTAAATTCTACAGATTGAACTTTGTAGCTTCTCACTACAACTAACTTCATTACTAATGTGTGTAGAACTTTATGGACACTGCATTAAAACACCCAAACCACAAAACAAGCAAGCTACAAAATAAAAATAGAAACCACCAAACCCAGCCCCTAACCGAAGAGCTCAACAGCCGAGGAGCCAGGTCTGTTTCTGTACTTGTGTGTTTCTAGCCAAGCAGCGATTTCCTTCCTTTCTGCTGCTGCACAGGAAGGGGGATGCAGGACAGAGTTACAGTGTCCTGTGCTTTTTGGGACCAAAACTCTGCCCCACAGGGTTCTGCAGGACAGAGTTACAGTGTCCTGTGCTTTTTGGGACCAAAACTCTGCCCCACAGGGTTCTGCATTGCTGTTCTTCCATCCTGCTGCTTGCTGTGGGAAACCCAGGAGGGCAATCCCATGTTCCAAGGATTTACACTTCAAGGTGATGGATTTGTCTCTTTGGCACTGTTACTGTGATACAGAGCAGCAAAGTCTACCTGAAAGTTTCCCAGCCTTTAAAAACTTGCAGTAATTCTATAGCCAGCCTATTAGAAATAGTGTGCTAGTGAAGCCTTGTTTCAAACTGACAAGCTGTAAGCAGGACATGAACAAAAAATTCTGTATTCACCTATAAAGTGGAATTAAATAGGGTAAGGAGCCAGACAGTGGGAGACCAGCAGCAGCCACCAGATTCATACCTGCTGTGCTTAAAAAATGATTCTTAAATGTCAGTGTCAGAGTTAATTTTGAAGACAGCAGTGCTTCCAGAGACCAGCAGTCGTTCTAAGTCTAGAGAGTTCATCTCTAGACTTAACAGTGTTACAGAATCAAAGATTTATTCTTTTTTTTTAAACAAAAGTTGCACATTATTTTTAAACATTTTTATACTATTGTTGGCTTTTTATAGACTTGTGCCAGCATTATAGTTTACCTTTTTGTGATGTAGCATGTACACACGTGTGTGTTTGCTAGTACAGAGTTAACCTGTCACTGAAAGGTTTTAGTGAAATAAATATCCATCCACCATAATTATATAACTGACTTACAATATTTCTCCTGAGCTTGTTACAATTAGGTTACAGTTAACTTTTTCCCTCTTCAAAGGAGAGCTGAGACAAGTAGGCCAAAATGTGCTAGCAGTGGAACTTTCTTAATTAGGAAATTAGGCTACTTCTTTCAGTAGACAACAAGCATTGTGTTTTTCTTTAGCCAAGGAAACTTAGCCTTGCTGTGTTACACATTAAAGTGCATCTAACCCTCAAAGTCTGGATTTTAAGCAAAGTATTGATCCTGTATTTGAGTAGTGTGAATTTTTTATTTAGTTGCTATAAATGTTGAACTGAAAGTGAACTCTCCAAATTCTGTGCAGTCACGACAATGACTGGAAGGAGCCAACCTGCAGTGAAAAGCAGCACTTTTAGATGCTGCAAACCCTGCTCTCACAGTTTTCCTGGCTCTTAGTGAAATGGAAAGTTCCTTTGTTTTAATCTGTTCCTAGGTGAGCCAGATTAATTGCATCTAGCACTTCCACATTCCTGTGCTGCCCTTGAACCTCCTTTCATGCCTCAGGAATGGATGGAGCTTTTCCTCTGAGCTGTTTGATTCTGCACTTTGGGCATCAACTGTGTTCTGGCCCACAACATCAGAAGTGAAGATAATTCAGTAATTAAGCTGTGCTTTTACTTAATCTTCCTTGGATCTTCCAACCCTGCAGCAGCTCCTTCAGTGTCCTTTGTCCTGTGTGCAGAGTGGCTGAGCTCTGCCTCTCCTGTGTCCCCTTTGGGGACAGTGGGGACCAGGAATTTTCTGGGTTGGACCTTGTCTGTTCTTCCACCGGCAGCTGGCCTGAGGAGCTGTTTTGGTATGAATGTTAGTGAGCTTTGACACTAATTAGGATAATGACTGACATTTAACACCCTGTACATTCCAAAGCAATGTTTTCTATAGCATTGACCCACTGGGCTAAAATGATGATTTAGAATTTTAATGCCTTTTTATCACCTTAAACTTATATTACACAACTTTATCAGCCATAAAACTATTAACATAGAATTGTTGGAATATCTGTAAAACTCACTGAATTGGGTGACTAAAATGGCTTTTGCAGAGTATGAATCAGATGGAAGGCAGGTATGGAAGAGTCTAGAGTAATGAAGTAACATTTCTGACTGGCATGTTCCACAGTTGTGTTTCCCCAGGGCTTTGAATTCATGCTCTAACAAGGACATAATGAAAGATGCTATCTAAAATACATTTTGATTTTTATCACCTGGGTGTAACCAAATGGCAGCATTTCAGAACTATTACTCATTTCAGCAGTGGTACTTCATTCCAGTGATGCTGGTGTGCTTCCCAGCTGAATTCACTGAGCTGGGAGATGCTGAGCCCAAGGAAGTGCTCTCCTCATCTGAGATAAGGGCTATCAGCTGTCCAGAGTCATGCAGGAAGTTTGTGGCAGAGATGAGAATAGAACCTCAGGTCTCCTGACTCTGTCCTGTGCCTAATCATAAGACAATTCTTCTGACTGGCTTAAAACATGCTCTGAAAAAAAAAAATAGTGTGTTAAATAATTCTAGTGGGAGATTACACCTCAGCTGACCATGTTAATGGCATTAACATGCTTTAAAAGGCATTTAAAAAATAATGCTTTCACTTGGGGAAAAATACATAGAGGGACTAATTGACCAGATTTTTCTAGACATTTTTGAAATTAAGGTCTATAAGGTAAGATCCATGAGTAAGTGTAGCATGAAATCAAGGTTTCTGCACCAAAAATCTTATTTCAACATGCTGTTTAATTTACTAAACTATATTTTTAAAATAATATTGCACAAGAGGATGTTCAGCAGCTTTCATTTAAATAAAAGCCCTCTCAAAGTCATTGCAAATTAATTTACTATTCCAGTGGCTCTCAGCACATGGGAGTGTGTTTTGAGTGGCTTTTGTCAGCCAGCTCTCTTTAGTGGCAGATGCTGGTGTGCAGCAGCTTTGCCCACCCAGCAGCATAAAGGACATTTCACATCTTTAATCTACAGGGCAGCTTGTTTGTTGCCATGCAATAGGAGATATATTTTAAATATTCTTTTCACTCAGCTGAAGCAAAGATTTCCAAACCTATTCCCACTGTGAGTCTTTCAGAACCAAGCTGAAGAATTTCTGTTCTGGAGATTCAGAATGAATAATGGATTGATCTGTACAGCACAGAAACAGAATTACATTGTCACACTCAGAAAATGCAGGTCCACATTGTTGATTCAAAAGATTATTTTTAAGATTAAAAGGTTTGAGAGTGAGTTGGTTTATGGTGTAGTGAAAACACAACTCATTCGCTTTAAGCTGTTGTGATATTGGCTGCATCTTCCTCAGGTTGGGTCTAGAATTTGGAACTTGGATGTGTCTTCAAGGGTTATTTAAATGTAGCAAATGTAACACTGAGTATTTATAGATCTTATCAGCATTTTCCTAAAGAAACATTTGCTAGGTTCCTGTTTAGGTCATCTTGTTACTATTTAAAGCTTTCTGGAGTGAGGAGTCTGACAAATTGTGCTTTTTAGCAAATGTTCAATCAGAGCATGCTGCAGCAGGCCCTGAGATGAAAGGCAGTTGGGTGAATTCTGAATTCTGTGTGTACATGCAGTGTTTAACTGCTCATTCTGTATGCTGGCTGCATGATTTTAGGAGCAGCATATATAAAAATGTCCATTTAAAAAATAATATGGCCTCAGTTATATCCCAAGAATTTAAGGACTTCAAAGGGTTTTCTCCTCTCTCAAAAGCACAAGATTACAATTGCTCCAAGTGAGACAGTCTCAGATATGGGAGCAGACAAGACACAGACAAGCAAAGTAATGGAGAAAAAGGAGGGAAGGCAGAGCAACACATAAGGCTTAAATCTCTGAGAATAATTTCAAAGTTGACTAATTTTATTTTAAGAGACATAACACTGAGTGACTGACTGCCAATGAGTTTATTAAGTATCTTAAATTTTACTTAAGGGTTCTTGCTTCTGTGTGATCTTCAAAAATACATATTATGGTAATGGTAACTGGGTTAAATGGGCTTCAGATCATCTAGTGACATGCACATTGTTTTGTACACTCAGGTTTTTCTTTAACATAAAATAAACAGGTCTCACCTGAAAAGTTTAAGGATGTTGCCAAGGGCCTATCTTCATCTGGTCTGAATTTCAATACTATTTAGAAAATGTAGACAAATTGCTTTACATACTGTATCAATGTCTGTGTTTTCCTTAAATAAGATGAAAGTTTGTTTCCTTTGAATTTCACAGCAGTGGTTTGGTAACTGAGGCTCAGTTACAAAGAGCTTGCACCGAGTTTGGGAAAGAAACTTAGGAACTGTTGGGCATCAGTCACAGGCTGGTTCTACTTTTTGTGAAATTAGTTTCTAGCTGCTAATGTCACTTTTCTAATATTTACTGTAGTTACCACATAGAGTCAAATAAGTAAACAGGAAGGGAGGGGGAAAGTCAGAGAGCTGCTGTAACAAACCACGTGCTCAGCTCTCCAGAAGCTTCTCTGAAGAGTGAGGATTTAGCTTGTCTTAAATGCTTCTGATCAATTTGGATATTTCACTTTGTAAATTGTCCTGATCCAGATTCAATACAGCTGTTGAACAGTAAGAGTATAATTTATCATCATTTGGGCTGTTGTTTCATGCTTGGTCATGGCTTAGACTTCTCTCATTTTCCACTGCCAGATTGGAAGAGAATAGTTATGGTAGGAAAGTCTTGACATGTCATCATTCCTGCTTCAAATGCTCTGACAGGAAGTAGATGTGAAAACCACACATAAAGTTAGAATCTACACCTACTACTACTAATAAAAAAAAAAATGAGATTGCTTTTCCTCACTTTGAAGTGTACCATTATTTTAGAAATTACAGAAGGTTCTTAGACTGTGATCATCAGAATTAGAGCTTCAAGTAATGGGTTTTTTTGCCTTAGGAATCTTTCTTTGAAAAACTACATTTCTTTTAAGTCAGCTGCTGGTAAAGCAGTCCCAGCACTGTGCTCTTTTGAAAGGATGTTGTGACTCATCACTGATGGTGGCTTTACTGATGTGAATTTATATCTAAGCTAAAGATACTGTTGCATGAAGCTGTGAGCTCTCCTATAAAAAGAGGTGTAGTTCAGTAATCTTTAAAGATATACATGTAATTAAGAGTCTCAGAAAGAGCACAGACAGCATTATTATGTTTGGCAACAAAGTGTTGGTATTGTAATTCAGTAAAAGTAACTGTTCAATTGACCCTTCTGCCAAGAAGAGAGCAAGATTTCTTTCCCGTGATGGGCTTGTGTTCTTCCTTTGGTTTGTATCAGAGCTGAGAAGCCATGCATGATCAGGTGTTTTTGTTCCTGCAGGTGTGAGATGTTGAAGCCATGCATGATCAGGTGTTTTTGTTCCTGATGTTGAAGCCATGCATGATCAGGTGTTTGTGTTCCTGGTTGGAGATACTGAAGCCATGCATGATCAGGTGTTTTTGTTTCTGCAGGTTGGAGGTTGGAGATACTGAAGCCATGTATGGTCAGGGTGGTTTTGTTCCTGCAGGTTGGAGATACTGAAGCCATGCATGATCAGGGGTTTTTGTTTCTGCAGGTTGGAGATATTGAAGCCATGTATGACCAGGTGTTTTTGTTCCTGATGTTGAAGCCATATATGATCAGGTGTTTGTGTTCCTGATGCTGAAGCCATGCCTGACCAGGTGTTTGTGTTCCTGCAGGTTGGGGACATTGTGAAGGTGACGAGGATGAACATCAACGGGCAGTGGGAAGGGGAGGTGAACGGGAGGAAAGGGCTCTTCCCATTCACGCACGTGCAGCTCTTCGACCCTCAGAACCCCGAGGAGAACGAGTGACTCCCCTGCCCCTCTCACTGCTGCTTCATTCTCCTGGCTACCATTGGCATTCTTTGAGGTGGGATGATGACTTAATGGCACGTTGCTAGCATTGCCCATTTTCCAGCTTGCTGCAGTTTGACAGTTTCTTTAATGTACATTTGGAATTCATACAACTGAAGTCACTGCCTGACCTTCAGACCATAGTTACATCATCCAGAATTTAGTTTCACTTTTAAAACTGTTTTGGGCCTTAAGCTGGACAAGACTGAACCGGAATATAGCAGAGAGGTTTGGGAAGGAAACCTTTCCTGTTGAGACTTCCATGGACTTTTTTCTGGTTTGCTCAGTAGGAAGAGCCCTAATCTTAGATCAAACGAGCAATTCCGTGCATTACTGTCCAACAAAGAGCAACAACAAAAATGCAATTTTAGAACTGAAGAAGATTTAGTTTTGAAATTACCTGTGCTAAGGTAGTACATTTAAAATGATGGTTTCTTTAAAGGACAATAATTGGAGCTTATGTGTTCTAAGCAGTTGTATTAGACACTGCTCTTTTCTGTTAATCCTTGAGCTTGTTGTTGACCTTCCTGAAACAGTGTGTGTTACATGCAAATAACCATTGATTCGGCTGCATTGAAGCTGAGGCATTTATTTATAAGGAAACCCAGGAGGAGGTTGTACTTGTAACTTGGTTTTGACATATTTAATGCATTTCTGTTGATTTTTGCAAGCACTAACTGTAGAAAGTGAGCTTTAAGGGGAAACACATTGGCCTGGTCTACAAACAGCTCTTCTGCAGTGTTGAAAGTGTAGTTTGACTAGTACAGAAGTGCTTGTCATCAAGCTGTTACTTGGTAGACAGATCAGACTGCCATGAGGAGAGATAGGGGTGGGACAGAAGAACTTGGTAAATACTGATAAAATCCTCTTATTTAAACATTTAAAGACCTTTTATATCCATTTCTCTGCAGGCTCCCTGCTCTCTCCAAAGTTTCCTAGCTGTACCAGCCCCAGCTCATCAAAAGCTGCTTTTCAAACACAGTAACTTTTTACCAGGGTGTCTGTGTTGCTGTGCTTCTCTTCCAGAGCTGCTTTCATCTTCTTTTTCCCTTCCTTTTTTTTCCTTGCTTGCATCCCAACTCCTCTGCATGCTGACATCTTTCTTTTACCCTCCCTGAGACATTGGCTGTGATTTATATACGACCCACGTCCCTCCCTCCCAGCATCCTGTAGAGAATGGTCAATTGGAGTCAGCTGCCTGGCTTCCCATGGGAACGCTCGGGCTGGAGGAGGTCAGGAGGTGTCTGTTACTGGGGTAGCTCCTCCCCTCTCTGTGTAGCTTTTCCCTGCTAAGCTCCCCTGCTGTGATTGTTCTGCAGCTGGGTGCTCAGCCTCAGCCTGGTGCAGGATATGAAAGTGCAGGCACAGGGGAATCCTGTGCCACCTTCCTCAAATGCGTGTTGTAGGTGAACTGGAATGCTCTTTTCAAAATGGTGGAACACTGAATTAACAGAATACATGTCTGCAAAGATACAGCTACTAAACCTCCCTTTTCAGGAGCCTGGTTAAGGCAGATGTCCAGTGGGGAAGCTGGCAGGAAAACAGCAGCTCCCATTTTTGAGCTTTGGTAGGCTGTTGTTTGTAGCAAAATGAGAAACTTCAAACACCTGCAGAATGTCATCAGATCTTACAAATGTCTAATGGTATAAAGATTGTCTTAAGTTCCAGCATGTTTTCTTGTTGATTTGTGTTGCTTGATCCTAATAAAAGCGTGTTGTTGGTAGCTCTTGTGGGAGTGCCATGAGATCCTCCGTTGGAAGGCACTGAAGAACTGCAGAAATGCCATTCACAAGCATACATTCAAAATGCCAGGTTTTAAAAAGTCTCTCCATTCATCTATTAACTGTTTTCTGTAATATTGATCAAGTGGCTGACGGTCTGGAAGTTCTTGTAGAGCATTTTACTACCAAATTAACTGTGAAGTAGAGTAGCATTGACTGAAGTGTTTGGTGCTGTAATTCTTGACAATAGGCATTGACATTTTGTCTTGCAAAGAAAAGCTATGCAGTTCTCTTAACTGAAGAAGGTCATGTTTTTCCTGTGCCCCAACAATACCTGCACGTTTACTACACAGATTGTACTACTGAAAGTCATCTTCTGAATACAAACTGCACTAAACTCAGTCTGCTGCAGAGAAATCTTATTTCAGGCCTGACCTAGTTACAGGCAGCTCTTCAGAAGACTGATTGTAGAATTCTTCCTTTGTGTGGTGAATAAATACTGTGAGATTTCAGATCTTGAACAGAACTTTTAACCTGATTTTTTTTTTCACTGAAATAAACACCTTGACTCATCCCCTCATTGAATAAGGTGCATGCTTTGAACACAAACATTGTTTTAGGTTTAATTATGTTCCAATACTGCAGAAAAGCAAAGTACTTTACCTTCAAAACTATGCAAAATTTGTGTGTAGTGGTATCTGATGCAAAGACAAGAATTCTTGAATTTCTGTGAACCTGGTTTTAGGTCATGAATGAGCAGTGTTTCTCCAAGTAGCAGCAGTGTGGTTCAGGTATGTAAAATGTGGTTTCAATGTAGCATACTGACCAGCCTAAGCTGATTGTAACCTCGCTTCAAACTGTGTCTTGGCTATTTTACTATGAGACAAGTATTTTCATATAAAGACTGCATTGGATCAGTGTGTGTTTCTCTTTGAAGGACTCTGCAATCTCCATTGCTTGTCGCTTGCTTACACGTGTGCTGTCGTTTTATGAAACCTCTTAAACCTGAGTGATAATCTTATCAGTGTCAATGTTCTTGGGCGTGTAAGGTAACCTTGATATGAAGCATGAGAGCCTACAAGTGATGGCTTCAATCTATGCACCATTAAAGTTGTCCTTGCTTTGGAGCTGGTGCCACAGTAGTCAACTATCACGAAAGGCTTGGCTTCCTCCTGCTGTGTACATGTGTATATAGACATTGAAGCCTCTGACCAGTCTGAAAGTTTAAATGAAAACTGTTTTAATCAGTGTCCATCACTGGATAAGCGCTTATTTAATTCATGATTGTTTACAAATTGGGAAAGAATAAACAAAAGGGAATATCCTGTTTGGGTTGAGGCTCTGAAGAGCCTGAGCATTATTTTTGTAAAGGGAAAAACAGCATTCTTTGTGCCATTTCATGTGCCTGTAAAGTAATTTTTTATATTGTATTAACATCCTGGGAATGAGTGGGCTGCCTTTGTTTTTTAGTCCAGTTTTCAAGCATTTTCCTCAATACCTGCATTTGAAAGTGAGACCTGCCTAAAAGACTGCCTTTTGGGACCAGTGAAAGCGTTCCTGTATAGTTGTCATTTCTGTTTATTTGTGTTAAAGTGTATTTTGGGACAAGGATACAATTATTGCAGTGGGAAAGGTGGCCTTGTATTTGAGACAGTCTTCACTGTGTAAACTTTTAAACACAATATGTAATTTAAAGACCATGATCTTCAGGCAATAATATTAAGTGTAAGCTTTTAAATTTTATTTTGGGGATCATAGCTTGTTTTATTTTTTGTGCTATAAGATTAACAGTATTAAATGAATTATATTCTTAGAATATACGGAGTGTCTTTTCTTAAGATTAGTGCCTTTTAATTTCTTACTCCACTTAATTCATAGAACTGGTCCCAACATCAAGCCACTGTGTTTTTCCCCAAGGCCCTGTTTGTACAGTCTAAATAAAACTTGCCTCAACTTACAGTATTATTTGTGGTCTTTAGTCTGAAACCCTCAACAACAGCAGCAGAGTGTTGAAGCCCTTACTCTGTCCTTACAATGCCTGTTCTGTGGGTGAGCAGAGCCTGCCAGCTGAAGTTTTCCAGAATCAAAGGAAGAATTGAGCAGGAGAAAATGCTGTTGCCAGGCTGAATGAAACTCTCCTGTTCCATCCTCGTGCCTCTTCTCAGACAATGCTGCTGGGCTCTGGAGGCTCAGATGAAAAAGCTGCACCTCTGGTGATACAGATTGCCACTGCCTCCTCCGCCCCGGCGCCCGACACGTCCGTGCTCCTCCTGCTCCTCCACCTCTGTATTTATTGTGCTCTTGGCCCAGGGTCTCTGGAACCATAACCTTTGTTTACTGTGATGCCCTTGACTGTGCTTGTAAGAATGACTGGTTCATGCAATGGTTTGAATTTCGCTTATTATTGGTTGAGTAACTGAGGTGTAACCTGTGCAGCACTGGAGAGCAGGGGCTGCAGCTCTGGCCCTGCCATGAGGTGCTGGTGCACAACATCAGAACCAACTGTGTTTGGAAGTCAGAACCCACATCCTGGTCATCTTCTGCCTTTTCAGTCCAGATCAATAGTAACTTAACTAAACTTAAAGGGTTTTTTCAGTTAAATCATTAACAAGGTGTTGATACTTGAGCTGATCCTGTAGAGGAGGAACACTTAAAGAAGAATATCAACCATGCAACTGCTGCGAAGGAGAAGCCTACAAAGCTTGTATTGGTTCCCTGGACTCTGTAGGTTTGGTGACAGCCTCGTGTTTGTCTTCTCTGGAGTACAGATTTCCATGTGATGTTAATAAACATTCATAGCCAACTCTGCATAGTGTCTTATCATCAAATAGTCACATTTGGCAAGTTATGTTGTGGAGAAAATCAGTTGTGTTTTAAAGATGAAAATAGGTCAGATACATTCAGTGGGCTTTCAGGCTAAAAGGCAAAAAGTAAAAGGAAGCGAGCAGTAACTGAAGGTGGGTTTATTTGTCTTACCTGCATTCAGGCTTCCACAAGTGCAAATCTGAGCTAGTTCAGTTACTTCAGTCCAACAACAGGCAGCACAAGCCTCCATTTTTCAGTGCAAGCTGGGATCAGCTGGGTTCATCAGTTTGTCACTGATTTATTTAAAAGGTTTTATTTCTAAACTGGTGTGATGTCAAACACCCTTTTAGACATACCAGAGGTGTCTGTTGGAGCTTGCACCAATAGTAAATACACCTAAATACACCAGATAAACTGCAGCCACAGCAGAGCACAGTTCCATTTCTACATGATTCTCCAGAGTCTGGAGTGTGCACAGATGAAAAGCTCCTGAGGTCCACACTCACCTTGGAGCATTCATACTGATTTTTGTCCCCCATATCATCCCCTCTGCCTTGTTTGCTAGAGGACAGATCAGCTGCTCCTGTAGCAGCTGTTGAAGCACCAGTCACAGCTCAGCAGGGAAAGGTAAAGCAGTTCTGATTTCAGGAGCCCTCCATCCCCCGAGATGCAAACCGGTGGCTGTTGAACAGCTGAGCCCCGCTGCCACAGGGCTGTGTGTCCGGGGGGGACAGCAGGGCTAGAAACCGTCACAGCTGTCTCAGAGTGAGCCTCCTGCTCTGAAACACCAGCCCCGAGAGCTTGCCGAGAGCGGCACCGACTGTTGTGGCTCACGGACACCGAGTGCTGTGTGCCCACCCTGAGCCAGGCTGTCCACGCACGGCTGCAGCTGCCCGCCCTCCCCGGGAGCTGCCAGCCTGGGAACCCCGAGCCCAGCACCGTGACTCAGCCCCGTCCTCCTGCTCCAGAGGGCCACAAAGCTGAGCCACCCCTGCTCTGCGGTGCGGCCGAGGGGATGGCAGCCCCTCGGGGCAGCCTCACCTGCGGCAGATCCATCCCCGAGGCAGGCGGGGCAGCCACAGGCGATGGGAATTAACGCTGGTCCCCTCAGTTAACCTTCCCGGCACCTGCTTGCTTCATTCCAGGCAGTTTGTAACCAGAACCCTCCCTGCATGCGTTACTGGCCTAACCCGCCGCTGGCACAGCAGACAATTGGGATCAGAGCTAAATCTGGGCCATCCACAGGGAACTGGCTCCTGCTTTGTACGTCCTGCCTGGTCCAACAAGGGCAGCTGAAAGTCAGCGCTGAGAAATCCCTCACCAGCATTTGGTCTAGAAATGTATCACTAAAGCTCAAGTGAAAGTGTGGATCCAAGGGACTGTTAATCCCCCTGCACTGCACTGATTCCCAGTCTGTGCCATCCAGTGAATCCTCTCCAGACCCTCTCACTGGGCTGTCAGGGCAGCAGGGGTGGAAGGGCAGTGCTGGACATGCTGCTTTGCCTTCCCCCAGCTGCCCCTGTGCCCAAAATCCAACTGATTTGGGGGGAGTGGCAAGTCCAAGGAGATGATGCTGTTTTGAACAGACAGAAGGGACTGACATAAGTGAACAACAGGAGCTGGTTTGAAACTCTTGGCACTCGACTCCTGTTCAGCC